GCGTGCTGTGAGCACTCACCTACGTCATGCCCGGGCGGCCAGGGGGCCGTCCGAAAGCCGTTCCAGAAGGTTCGAGAAGGTTTTCGGTAAAGAACGGCCAGGAAAAAGGCCCAGTCTCCAGAGAAGTGACACACTGTTTGCAGACGTTCCCGCAATTAGGCAAGGTCAAGGAGCCCTGCCGAGGGAAGGAATGGGAGGGGGGAGGGGGGAGGGGGCGGCCGGGGCGGCGACCTGCATCCTTGGGCCGAGAAGCCTCCCTCGCCCGTCACGCCGTCAGGATATTGGGACCTCAGCTGCCCTCAAAATTGGCCTAGAAATTCATTCGAACATGTTTCTGAAGCAGTGAAAGGAATGGAAGACGAATTTGAAATTTTCAGATTTGTAATGTAAAGCAAAATATTAGATCACTGGGGTGAGCCACTTGTGAACAAAGACTATTTATCCCAGAGACCCCTCATTGTAAAACGCCATTGTCGTCTGTTTTCTCTCTTCCCCGCCCGAGACCCCCCCGAGAGTGAGCCAGTGTGCGTGTGTGAATGTGTGTTGGTGCGAGGGTCGGCCTGCCTGCCGCGGTGCACTCCTCCTATTGTCTCCAATTTTAACTTCTGTCGCTTTCAATTTTTCAACACTTTAAGCGCCATATTCTGCTTCCTCATGTCCACGCGGTTAACGCCATATTTTATTTTTGGATTTTGTGATATTTTTGAGTTTTAACCCAATTTGATTACAGAATTATAGAACCACATTTTCTTGTGTATCTCCCGAAGGCCTAGACCTAGAACTGAATTTCAAAACTGCTCTTGTACATCTTTTCATGGCGCATTGAACGAGCTCCTTTATTTTACTCTTAGACTTCTAGAAGCGAATTTACATTTTGCAGCCAGAGGCAATTGTCCTTGGGGGGCCAAGACCGCTCCTCTCTCGGCCGACCCGGACTACCTGCTTGGGTCTCGCCCGCAGCCCGCACTGCCGGATGGCTGCACTTTTCAATGGAGAATCGGGCGCCCTTTCCCTTGCGTTGGTTCAACTGGGCTTGTCGCGCACTCGTGAAAACTCAGAGGGCTTCCCCATTCGGTTACAAAGTGTGTGTATATTTGTGACTAGAGACCGGCACTGCCGCTCATGGCGAGCCGGCCCGGCTCGGCAACCGAGTCTCTGTGCGAGAGAGACGTCCGAGAAAGCCGAGGCCGAGTATTGCCGAACCCGCCGGTGCAAACGGGGCTCGTCTGAGCCGTGGCCGCCCGCGCCTCGTCGCCTAGCTTGGCGGCCTTGCGGGCGCTGGCGGAGACAGACACGTTCGCAGCTCCCAGCACAGCTCCCCGGCCGACTGCCGACCGACTCCGCACAGAGCCTCGTCGCTCTGTCTCTCTCGCACTTATGCGGGCCGCCCCATGAGTGCGACAGAGACGGAGCGACGAAGGTGATATGCGGAGTCGCTCTGCAGGCCACACCGAAATTCCTCAATTTTGTGATGAAATTCATGAATTTTGTTGTGAAATTCATGAATTTTGCTGTGAAATTCAATGAAATTCATCAAAATTCATCGAAATTCATCAAAATTCATCGAAATTCATCGAAATTCATCGAAATTCATTGAAATTCATTGAAATTCATTGAAATTCACTGAAATTTACTGAAATTCACCGAAATTCATGCGAAATTCAAAATTTTGTACACCGAAATTCAAAGTTATTTCCCCTTGGTCTTGACGAAATCGAAGAGTTCTATCTTGAGAAAGAATGGCTGGTCCCGAAAATTACCGCCCATCTCACAGGCAAGACCGAGGACCACCTCGGCCAGTATGACCGCTTGCAGTCTCATCTCATTCATTACATTAAGCTGCGAGATAAGCCATTCGTTCTTGTTGAAAGAGACGCTAATTTCAAAGAGGTGGATGGAGTCCCACAATTCAGTCAAACCCATCTCGGGCTCACTGCGTGGACCTCCATTTGTAAACTGGGCATGACGGTCTTCGAAGTTTTTGCTGGCCCCGATATTGAATGGTGCTGAGTCCGATGCGTCACCTGGGGACAGAGCGCAGTGGCCTCCCAGGCGCCCGGCGGCGCGGCGCGGCACGGAGCGTGGCGGGCCTGCCTACCTCGCAGGCGCTCCGCCTCCTCCGTTAAGCGCACCTCACGCGCCTCACAGTCCTGATCGCCCCGAACACCCTCCGGGGGGTTGAAGGGTAGGTTAGGCCCACCCCCTAGCTTAGGTTAGGTTGGGTTAGAGCCCTCATCTTCACCTCCAAAAAAAATCCACAAATAATGACAAAAATTTTTTTTTCCAAAAATGACCCATTTTTGACCCTTCCAAAGGTTAGGTCAGGACAGGTCACTTGGGGGAATCAAGATGGCGCCGGGTCACCACGGGGCATTTATACTACTGCCGGTTGCCCTGCCTGTCGTCCCAGCCGCGCACATGGGCGGGGATGGGGACCGAGCCATCAGGCAGGGCTCGCCCTGTTACCTCCACAAGAAATGCGTCCAGGCTGTAGACTCACCGCAGCATACATCCATGTTATTTAGATCCACTGTCTTGGAGGTGTTTTTGTTCGTGTGTAATTTAGCTCCACCTGTGGAACAATATGACATGTGCATGGTACCCAACGATCTAGCTCCACTGGTCAAGGACACATTTTCATCCACAAAAATGAAAACCGTTACCTCCACAAGATACTTTTCCAAATTTCTTTGGAGGTAAAAAATGTCTTGCCATCATTTTTATCCACGGTCGTGGACATGTTTTTTTGAATGTCGTGTTTAAGCTCCACGAAAAAAAGTGAATGATAGATCGGAAAAAAAATTATTTAGCTCCAACAGTCAACGCTTTGGTTTTCATCCATTGGACAGCCCGCGTGGAAGAAGATGGCAGTCTCTGGTGAAATTTACGTCCATGTGGACGAAGAAATAGGTTGCTCTGAATTTACGTCCAAGTTTCTGCGGTAGGCAGCGCCCCCTCAAGGAAGGAGGTGCTTGCTGTGTACTCCGCGGACGCGTGTCGTTGAAGTCGCGAAGCTCGACGTGGTCCTTGCTTTAGGAGCCCACGCAGCGTGCTGCCCATAGGGTCAACGAGGTGGTGACCAATGCCGTCCTCCAAACGAAGGTCATGCCGTAGGCCTCGGGAGGACGCATCTTGTGATCATTTGCAGTGGCGGATCCAGTGATCCAGAAACGGCCGAAGGGGGGCTAAAGTAGCACTTTCTGCCAACCTGCAGGGGCCAAGTGTGGCTTTTTGCCTACCTTTCAGGCCGCCGCGCCTCGCCCCACGGCGCTCCAGGACCTGAACCAAGCCGTTGTCCAGGAGGGCGCACAGGTTAGGTTAGGAGCGGTGGCCCGCGAGGTAGCAGATCGTGTTCGGCGGCCTGCAGGCGGCCGCCGCGCCTCGCCCCACGGCGCTCCAGGACCTGAACCAAGCCGTTGTCCAGGAGGGCGCACAGGTTAGGTTAGGAGCGGTGGCCCGCGAGGTAGCAGAGCGTGTTCGGCGGCCTGCAGGCGGCCGCCGCGCCTCGCCCCACGGCGCTCCAGGACCTGAACCAAGCCGTTGTCCAGGAGGGCGCACAGGTTAGGTTAGGAGCGGTGGCCCGCGAGGTAGCAGAGCGTGTTCGGCGGCCTGCAGGTGGCTGCCGCGCCTCGCCTCACGGCGCTCCAGGACCTGAACAAAGCCGTTGTCCAGGAGGGCGCACAGGTTAGGTAAGGAGCGGTGGCCCGCAAGGCCGTGAGCTAGGAGGGCGTGTTCGGCGGCCTGCAGGTGGCTGCCGCGCCTCGCCTCACGGCGCTCCAGGACCTGAACAAAGCCGTTGTCCAGGAGGGCGCACAGGTTAGGTAAGGAGCGGTGGCCCGCAAGGCCGTGAGCTAGGAGGGCGTGTTCGGCGGCCTGCAGGTGGCTGCCGCGCCTCGCCTCACGGCGCTCCAGGACCTGAACAAAGCCGTTGTCCAGAAGTGGCCTTATAGCCCTCGCTGCTGGTATCCACGGCGTTGCTGCGGAGCGGTGCATACAAGGGTGCACGGTCCAGAGGCCATGGCGTCTTCGGCGTCGTTGCAGGGAACCAATGCGACACGCTCCCGGACGCGCGCGGGCGGCAGTGGCACTCCGGTCGCCGTGGCCGTGGCCGCAGACAGGTGGGGGGTGGCCGTCGTGGATTCAGGGGGAAGTCCCTCGACCAACAGACGTGACACGCACTCCGCCTCCGTCATTCGCTAATGTAAAGCACGCAGTAAAGGACGGTCTAGAGTAGACTCCTTTGCCGAGGCCACGGTCGACGTGCTGTGGCCCCGCTGCCCGAAGGCACCGACGCCTGCACGCCGAAGTGGCCGTTCAGGCCGTGCCAGAGGAGGGCAGACGATTGCGTGCTGCGCCACTCGCAATCCCCAGCCCCAGCACCAGTTGCCTTGCGTCGTGGTCACCTCGCCGACTCCTGTCGTGCGATAGATCGTGTGGGGCAAAGTGGATTCCACTTCGGTGGGTCGAAGTGATGACACAAAAGATGTTTTGAATGCCCGATACGATGGACCGTATCAGGCGAAGAGAAAACCTGACCACATCGCCTAAGGAGCGATGTAAGAAACACAAGTCCCAGTTATGCTCCGCAGTGGAGGCGACGCCCCGCCGGACTCGTCCTGCTCCTTCACGCGGGCCGCGCAAGGCGTTGTCGGGAGGAATGGGGGAAGTCCAACCGCATCGCAAGTTCGCCCCGGCATGAGCTCGGCGCTTTGGCGCTAGAGCAGCAGAGCGTCATCGCCAACCACGTTGGCGGCGAGGTGTTGTGGTCTGATCCTGCAGCATGCATGCGTGCGTGCGGTGCGCGATGCGCACTTTATTGCTGCAGTGTCGGGATGATAGTGTTGTTAATACAGTTCACCTCTTCCCTTGTGTATCTTCGTATCAATGAACCAGGAGCAGGTGAGAGCGATGCGCTTAATGCTGCTCATGCACTGCAAGAAAAAAAAACTGTACAAAAATAAAGTACTGGACTGCACAGCACTCGTCATGCCGGTTCCGTTGTACTTTGTACAACAATTGTTGTACTTTAAAAGTACAATAATTTCCTGTTTAAAAAAAATTGCCAGGAATTTGTGTACTTTTGTTGTGGTGTTTTTCTTGCAGTGTGTGCAGGCTGGGCTCGCTTCGGAGTTGTGGTTCGTCCGTATGGTCTCGTAATCGCGGTTGGGTACGGGTACGGGTACTCCTCTCCCCGCGCATCCGCGTTCAAGCCCCTGGGCTGCAAGACAGCCTTCTGATGCACCGGAGGGCTGCTTGTGCCTCGGGGGCTCGCGGTGCGTCAGTGGGAGCAGGAGTGCAGGTGAGTTCCGCCCTGGCAAAACGACTGTTTGAGTTCGCACGCATTCGACCCGCCTGCAGCCGCCAAGGTAAACCGCATCCGATGTGCCCAGTGTGCTTTTTGCGCTATTCGCCTTTCGTGGTGCTGAACACAGGACGTTCAACCTTACGTCGGGTCTGCATGTGGCATGCACCCTCAATGCACCGGGTGCATTAGGTGCACTGCTGCTGTGGGCCCGAGAGGGAAGCCTGGGAATGGGGTACACCGCTACTCTCTAAGGACGGTCTCTGAGCCGCGGACTGCAGAATGGACGTAACTTACTCTGCAGTCCGCGGCTCGAATCCCGTGCAAAGAGAAATTGGGTTTATCACCCTGCCTGCATGCAGCCCCGCTGAGGCTTTGCACCGTTGTTTCTCTTTCGCACTGCTTCTTCGCACTCGATGTTTACCGCGATGCTTTCAGAACCCTGTACACTGTTTCAGAGGACGGCGCGCGAACTGCCCGGTACTTGCCACCAGCTTGTCAGTGTGAGCGCCGGAAGGGAGGTCTCTGGAGCGGCTTCGGATTTCGAGCCAGTCGCAGTCTTGGTCTGATCCCCAGAGCGTGGCCAGTCCAGCGACCGCACCAGCAACTCGTAGGTATCGGCGTTCAACATTCGTTCCGTTGCCTCCCCTACGAAATCAGACTGCGCGCCTGAAAGCGCCCGAGAGGTAGACAATCTTCGCGGCGCGCTCCAACGAGGTAGGCAACTATTCCGACTCGATCGTGTCAGAAAGCGTCATTAAACTTATCGGCTTACAGTCTCGCCACTTTTTCTCGCTTTCGACTGCACTTTTTGGAGCGCATGCCATCTGACAGAAACGCACCTGTTGGCCCTGTCTGCGTCGTACACGCTCAATGCACTCGCGCGCGGGCTGAGGCGTAGTTGGTCCAGGGAATTCCGGGGAGGAAACTACTGCTTCTCTCTGCTGATGGCCTTTGAACCGCGGACTCCACGTTGCGGGCTCGAAAACCGCATAACTAGCAAAGAGAAACGTATTTACTCCTCTCCCCCACAACCACTCATGCCGTTTCAGTTCGTATTCGCGCCCCCCTATCGTGACATTTCTGCGATGCTTTTCACAACCACTCTGTTGCAGGTGACATTTTTACTGAGCTCTGGCGGCACTACATGAACGGACGACACGCCATCCCGAGATATTCGTCGTCAGTTCACCAGCTTACTCCCCAATGCGTGCCCAGGCGCCAGAGCTGCGGGAAAGCCTCCAGCGCCCTACAGGTAGGCAACCCTTCGCACTCGTCGTAGGTAGCGTCCGCTGCGCGCTCTATCTTTGTGTGGTGGCCGCCGGTAGAACTACGTCGGCGGCCGGAACGCTCTCAGCGCGCCCTACTTTCTGTGGCGGACACTTGTGCAATCTCTTCGGTCGGCACACCAAAAACTAAAACTAACAACAACAACGCCGAGCAGCCGAAGTGAAGGGAGAAAGTTTTTAATAATTGGTAACGAAAATGCAGTTTGAACGAGTCGCCGGCAGCTACTTTGCCACTGCGCATTGTTGAGTTCGTGTTGCTAGTTCTGCCGTTCTGCCGTTCTGCCCTTCAATCGTTCAGCTTAATAGTCTGATACTTCGTTGAAACAAATATCCATCTTAGGTTAGGTTCGTTCATGGTGAATTTTTCACTGTTCTGGCAATGTAGAAATAGTTAGGTTTTCTTTATTTTCCCCTGCATGCAATATCATACGCATGATCATTCAATATGTATTCATAAAGATATTATGTGGCAAGTCAGAAGCTGCTATATTTGCTTCACATTCATTCGAAGCGTACAATTTCTGTTTTCAAGTATGAACAATCGAATGGATTCATTCTGTTTCTTATTGCAGGTGGCTGCAAGGGGAGTGCTGAATCTGTTCGCTTGAGTGTTGTGATTCCACCAAGTCTACTCCAACTCGTCACATCAATAACCCTGACAACTTTGCCATAAGGTTTGTTTCATTGTGTCTGTAATATTATTCTTTTTCGATTTTAGGTAATATTTTTATTTGTAACTTTTTCTTCTCTCAGGGTTCTTCAAAGACCATCGAACCATTCTGGAGCTGGATCGTGTCGTCTGGATCATGTTCCAAAAGAGATGACAACACTTCGGGACTGCTTCAGGCTCCTTCTCCTCCAACGGCTTTGCTTGGGCTGCTTTCACAGTGACATTTTCCCCGCATAATGTGTTTCCGTGTAGTCCATATTCAAACAAAGCCTGTAGCTTTTATGTTTGAATGTAAGTGTTAGTGGCTTTTGATTACAGTGATCACAACTATTTACTTGAGATATCATGGGGTAAAGTATAAAATTTATTGGATTATATCAGTGTACCGAAGGGTATCATATTAGTCTGATGCTCAGTATTTCTTGTTGAATGTGGCCAGAGATAATTGTAAAGATTATTATTTCTTAACATTGGCTGGGTGAGTGCCGTCTTTCTGTCTTATCTTGCTGCCCAGGACCTCCTGTCTCTGTTGAACTTGGGGCAGATAAAGATTGAGTAATAATCTCTTTTGTTTTAATTATTCAAGGGGAGTTGACAATTTTTCCTGGCAAAGACACTCAATTTCAGATAAAATTGTTTATGCTGAACAATGGTTCATTTATTTAGCAACTGTAGTCCTTGTTTAGTTGGAAGCTTCTTGGTATTTATGGGAAACTTGAATTTCAAACTGGTAATGCAACCGTTTTTAAGAATTTTTAGTGAAAGATTGCACTCAGAGTTTGAGCAACAGTAGTAACTTAACAAGAATAGAGGCATGGGTTTCTTTGGTTTGTTTCCAAGAGGGCTACATTCTGACTCATGATTATTTTGAAATGTTTGTAAGATAGCATTTTTAGAACAGATTTTGTCAGTTACTTATGGGATTAGAAGGGGAGCAGGAAGTGTGGGTGGGGAATGCAAGTAAAATGTATACTAGTGTCCTATTTTCTGCCCATCACCCTGCATTATGTTTGTTCCTTTTTTTCCCCTGTCAAAGCAACCTTTAGAATGTTTGGTTTAGTTTGTTCGTTCAATATGTATTTGTATCTGACTTTAGGGTATATTTAGTATTTGATGTGAATGTTAAATTGTGGTGACAATTCATCTTATTTCAGTCCTTATGTATTACTCCTGTTATATTTCTGGCTTCAAGCAAGAATTATTGAACTGAATTGAAACTTAACTAGTGGGGTAGTGAGATCCAATCCCTCAGCAAAATGACTTATGTTTCTATTTTCTCTGTGCCTTTCTTTGCTATGCCTCTGTACTGAAGCATTGTATGTATTGCTCCCTGCCTTGTTAAAGTATAATTTTTATTTTGTTTTTGTCATACACATTGCAACACACCCTTGATGGAGTACATGAAGTGTCAGCATGTATAAAGTAATGTGTCAATTCCACTGCTGAGCAAGTGAGCATATTGATTCTCTGGTGTACACTGCTTTGTGTCACCAGTATTTGAGGCGTCGTAACTTGATCTGTATGTAGGGGTGGTGACAAATTTTTGTATTTGTATTTATTGCGGTAAAAATTTACATGATTTACATAAGTTTTTACGCAAGTCAAGAACAAAGTGCAAAGCACAGCACCACGATTGGAAGATAGAAAATATAAAGTCGCCTCAGCAGTTTCAGAGAAAGTTTTCAAAGGTCATCCAGACTATTCGGCTCTTTTTTGCATGAGGAACTTTTTGAGAACATTTTTAAAGATTTTGGGTTTGTCTCTCATATCCTTAATTTCTTTAGGGAGTCTATTTTAAAAAATTGAGATCCCATGCATAATGGGCTTTTTGTATCAACTTTTGTTCTATAGAACTCAACATGTATGTCTGCGTTGTTTCTGGTACTATAACTGTGCATTTATTTTCTTATGGGTAAATCTTCTAAATTCTTAATGTCAAGCAAGCAGTGGGGTGGTGGAAACACAGCCATTCCTTCAGATGTAATGACACATTTTCTATTTTCCCTTTGACATGCTTCTGCACTGAGTTATTGTGTGCATTGCAATGTTCCCCACCTTCTTATAATATTATTAATTTTTAAGTTCCTTCATTGTATTTTCCTGTTCATTTTTTTGTTCTTGTTTCAATGGAGTACTTGAGGTGTCAGCCCAAATAAAGAAATATCTCAATCGCTGCTGTAGTTGTGAGCATTTAAGCCCTAGTTTGTCACATTGGAAGCAATGTTAGTTTGGTGACTTGCTTACTGTTACTTGAGGCGTCATGAGAACTTAGCAAGAGCGACGAAAATAGCTACAGCTTTGGGCCAATATTCAACATCCTGAAAGAGTGAAAACCCCTTTAAATGAGCCATACTAAATAATATAATAAAAAAATTTAGCCATGCATATCAGAATTTTTTGAAAATGAATCGAAGTGAAAAATGTCAAGGTCAACCTTTTACGACAAAATAGTATGCGCTAGAAGATTTCTTAAGATACAGCCAGAATGGGCTCAAAAAGACTCTCCGACTGAGTTCAGAACCTGGCATGTGCCTTCAAACGTCAAATTTTAGTCTCCTCGAAGAAAGATTTTATATTCCAAACAAATTATGACAGTGAGATCTATTTGGGAAAATGGCAAGATTTTCACCAGAACCTCCCCTTAAGCTCTTGTACCATTGTTTTTTAAGACCTGGAGTGTGGTCGATACTTATCTCACAATAAGAAATGAGTGTGTTTAATTATTGTTGCTCAGGGTGGATGATGAATGAAGCAAAACAGTACTCCCTTTACAGATTTTATTAATCAAATTCAGCTGGTAATCTAAGTTGAAACAAACACAGTGCATTCATGTTGCTGCTCATCTGAAAATGGAACTTGCGCTGATTCAGGCTTGGCTTGGATTGAAGACCATCTTGGGGGAAAATGGGATGCAACTTTGGTAATACCTACAAAGGAAAACACCAAATGAGGGGAGGCTATGGCAGATATTAAAATCAGGAGCAATAAAAATATTCGATGATACTCACATTGGAATGCAGATAAAAACTAATTCCATGGGGCGCAGCAGCTTCTTCGATTCAGTATTCCACCATCCTGACACCATCACTCCTTCCAGTTTGGCATCAAGCTGCGAGTCGGTGAGTGAGGCGAAGACCACCAGGAGATTACTGGAGAACACACAAACATAGGAAACTTTAAGAGTAAGAAGTGGCTATACCAAAGGGAAGAGCTGAATGGGAGGCATTGGCACGGCACATGATAACATGGCCATGAGGCAAGTTTTTAGATTATTATGAAAGGAACAAATCTAAATAAGACAGGATGTATCAGGTGACATGGCTCCTAACAGCAATAATGACAGAAAGACTAAAAATAGCACCTAACATATTCATTGCCAATACAAGCATTTCAACCAACAAGGAAAGACAGTTTCATATCACAGAAATAAAAAATTTGCAGAAAAAATACAGGCAAAATAAAAGTTGTTCCAAGGAATAATGGTACTTGCAAAATAAATAAAATTTAACAATCAAAGCACTGCGTGGAGTGAAAACTATGAAGCTCCAGATACAAGCTTGCACACAGTACAATCGAAACCTCACTTAATAGGAGAGACAGGGAGTGCAAAGTCAGTCATGAACAATATTCACTTGAGAATTGAAGACAAATACTACAAGAAGCAACATAACTCATGCACAAAGTCAGTCAGAATCAGAACAAAGCAAATTGGAGCAAGAACAGGAAACCAAGCTAACAAATGACGACAAATACTACAAGAAGCAACATAACTCATGCACAAAGTCAGTCAGAATCAGAACAAAGCAAATTGGAGCAAGAACAGGAAACCAAGCTAACAAATGACATAGCACACTATGAATGAAGTCAACACAAAGAGCAAACACTTCATAAAGCAGACTATGTCCCCTTTGACACAGGTAGCAGAATTTAATTTAAGATTCATAACACTTCAGCATAGTGATCACACGTATGACAAGAGCATAGCAACAATTACACTAGTATAAGATAATTGAATCATACACACAGGGCATTAAGGAAGGCAAACAGAAATCCAATCGAGATAAAACAAAAGTAACAGACAATACACCATCTGAGAGGCACAAACAGTTGAGTAATCAGATTGAGCAAAAGGGTGAACATATTCAATAAATCAAGAGAGAGGCAAACAAACACTTACGCAGCAAAGACACGACAGATACAGCTGTTGTAATTTGATTTGGAGTTTAGTTCTATTGTCTGAATTAAGCTGATGATACACGATAAGGGAGCGGGAGCAAAAGAACACGACACGAACACTCTGGAGTCTGGACAGGAAGTGAGCATTTATTTAACATGGCTGCTGCTGGAGCTGGAAATGCAACAGTGACAAGTGCAAGCAATTACACACAGGCAGTGACTATGATAATTAGTGCATGACTTATTATGTGCAGTATGAGAAGATGGTACAGCGGCAAATACAAATATACATTTATACAGATAGGCAGATTCAGTGGGGAATTTAAATGTAGAGGGTTAATCTTATATTTACAACAAGAATTGAAGACAAATACTACAAGAAGCAACATAACTCATGCACAAAGTCAGTCAGAATCAGAACAAAGCAAATTGGAGCAAGAACAGGAAACCAAGCTAACAAATGACATAGCACACTATGAATGAAGTCAACACAAAGAGCAAACACTTCATAAAGCAGACTATGTCCCCTTTGACACAGGTAGCAGAATTTAATTTAAGATTCATAACACTTCAGCATAGTGATCACACGTATGACAAGAGCATAGCAACAATTACACTAGTATAAGATAATTGAATCATACACACAGGGCATTAAGGAAGGCAAACAGAAATCCAATCGAGATAAAACAAAAGTAACAGACAATACACCATCTGAGAGGCACAAACAGTTGAGTAAACAGATTGAGCAAAAGGATGAACATATTCAATAAATCAAGAGAGAGGCAAACAAACACTTACGCAGCAAAGACACGACAGATACAGCAAGAGAATGAAATGTTTCTAATAGTGAAGCAGCAGTAACTGTTCACATAAGAGTTGACACAATCGCCCTCCAGCAATCTATACCTGGAAGTAGGAGAAAAAAAATTACTGCTACTCTGCAAACCTAGCACCATGCAGGCGCCTCGATCCAGGATGTAAACTGGAACACTGACTCCAATCACCAACTATGCAATAAAGACGAGACGAGACGAGACGAGATTGACAACCACATAAAGTCACACAAGATAAAGCAATGAGAGCCAGTCAAAACACTTCAAGACAGCAATGCAACAATGCACAACACAGTAATGGCAAACAAACAAACAAACAAACAATTGAAAAAAGCTGTACAGCAGGCCTATTTGAATACAGAACATTCACAATATGAGAGCAAAGACAGATATAGTAAAATAAGCCAAGCACATTGACTAACAATCACACATATGACAAGAGCATAGCCACAGGTACACTAGCATGGCAAGACAATTCAATCATACAAACAGAGCATAAAGGAAGGCAAACAAAAATCCAATCCAGGTAAAACAAAAGTAACAGACAATACAATATCCGAGAGGCACAAACAGTTGGGTCAGCAGAACGGTCATAGAGTGAACATATTTCATAAATCAGGATGGAGGCAAGCTAACACTTGGGCAGCAAAGCCTCAAGAAATCACAGACGTATCACATTTACGCAAGCACACAGAAACAGTCAAATTAACAAATGCATCACCCAATACGATCCAAAGAGCAGACTGACGAAAGACACTGACGCTCATTGACACAAAGACCGAGACAGAACAGGTATCAAAGCAAATGTACAGTAACATATTCACAATGCAAAGTCACAGGCAGGACAGACATCGAAGCAACAAAACCAAGTTCAAAGGAATGGCCAGTTTGTGAGAACAGCAAATCGGGTAAAAAGTTAAGAAGCACCGAGAGGTAGCGCTGAAATCTGCAGCACCAAGGCACTGAAATAGGAGGGAAGTTGGAGGGCAAGGACAGAATTAAAGGAGCGATAAGAATGAAAGCGTTACTTAGCTTTCCACACCAGCAGTTGAGACGAAGCTGTGGGTCTGTACTCGTTTAACCTCAACAGTTGCACAATGGAACCTCCCCGCTTGCCAAGCATCGAACGAGACGATTAAGTGAGGGAGAACGAACTGAAATCATACAAAATATACAATTAATACCTGGGAACGGCCGAAATAACGACTGCTTTTAAACGAGAGGTTTTGAAAGTTCGTTGGACATACCTCATAACTATTTCTTCTGGTAGCACATTAGATCCATGCGAATCAAAGCAGAGTGCCGAGAATGTGGCTCACGCGTTCATTCATTCAATTTGAAACAGCACGAGACAGAAATTATCCGGAAAATTTGCAAGCAAAGCGAGAAAAGCGGCTGACAGTAAACACGTTTGAACCTGTAGCCTGAAGCCGTAGCCGAGCCGTTACGACACGCAGCTTGCGCGATGTTGCCAACTGTTGTCGATGAAGTTCTTTTGTGGCCGCGTTCGCAAACGTATCTTTTTAAGAACAGAACTGTAAGTCTGAATCTTTATAATTTATTAATAATTATTTAGCAGTGCTCTGAGTCTCTAATTCACTAATTACGTCGTGTTTAGTTGGTCTCTTTGTGAGGTTGGCGTCAGTTGGTACGACCATGGCGGACGGGGCGGATAACGACGACAACAACAACAACAACAAACAGGTGCTTACCCTCGCGTAATAGCTTTCAAGGGCTAGTATCACTTTATCTGTCGATTGAAAAAGTACAC